TTTCTGTTTTTTCTTGTTTTTTTTTTTGGTTTCTGCGGACCTGCTGCAGGTGTGTTCCCTTCTGAAGAATGCCTTTTGGGCGGTCCTTTCTGCTCACCTGCTGCAGGTGTGTTCCCTTCTGTAGAATGCCTTTTTGGCGGTCCTTTCTGCGGACCTGCTGCAGGTGTGTTCCCTTCTGTAGAATGCCTTTTTTTCGGTCCTTTCTGCGGACCTGCTGCAGGTACATACTGTACTGGTTGATTCCGTTTGCCTCTTGTATCCATGATAAAAGCTCCCAATTCCAGGGCGCAACCAGTTCAGAATCGGAGCCACGGATGCAAGAACGCAATGGCAATGATCAAGGAACCGAACGTGTTCTCGAACCAAAATTATTCGTGCAAATATCTGGGCAAAGAGGACATGCCTTTCTGGGCTTGAGGTTCGGGATCAGGGTTTACGGTAAATTAAGGGAATGTTAAGATTAAGGGTATCAGGGTTTTCGGGATCATGGTTTTCGGTCAATTCGGGTGAAGTTAAGGTTAATTAAGTTTCCGACAGAATGCTGCCCTTTTTTCTGGTGCCCTGAGGTTTTGGGTTTAGGGTTGTTCCTTTTCACTCTCCGTTGCAGCTCCTATCCAACAGAATGCTGCTCTTTTTTCTGGTACCCTTATGTTTAGCGTTTAGGGTTGCCTTTTCAATCTCCGTTGCAGCTCGTATCCAACAGAATGCTGCAGTTTTTTCTGATGCCCTAAGGTTTAGGGTTTTTGGGTTTAGGGTTTTAGAGTTTAGGGTTTAGGGTTTTAGGGTCAAAGACTCTGTTTGACAGAGATATACCTTCCTTGGGTTTACCCCACCAGCCCTTCGGCTCCCCTCACATTTGAATTGCTTTCAGAAGGTCTTCCAGAAGCTGGAAATGTTGGTTTTAGGGAGTTCCCTGGAAGATTGAAATGGTGGTTCGGGAGGTTCCTTGTTTGGAAGGTTCAAGGTTTGGAGGGTTCAGGGTTTGAAGGGTTCAGGGTTTGGGGATCCAAGGTTGGGCTAAAGCAAGGCTGGACTAAAGCAAGGCTAGACAAAGGGGGAAAGCTTGGGGGAAAGCTTGGGGAGTACCCAGGGGCTAAAGCATGCCCAGGAGGGGCAACAGGGGTATTAAGGTTTAAATATACATATGATATATATGTATATGATATATATGTTTAGGGTTTAGGGTTCTTCCTTTTCAATCTCTGTTGCAGCTCGTATCCAACAGAATGCTGCCGTTTTTTCTGATGCCCTAAGGTTTAGGGTTTTTGGGTTTAGGGTTTTAGGGTTTAGGGTTTAGGGTTCAGGGTTTTAGGGTTTAGGGTTTAGGGTTCTTCCTTTTCAATCTCCGTTGCAGCTCCCATCCAACAGAATGCTGCCGTTTTTTCTGATGCCCTAAGGTTTAGGGTTTTTGGGTTTAGGGTTTAGGGTTTTAGGGTTTAGGGTTTAGGGTTTAGGGTTTTAGGGTTTAGGGTTTAGGGTTCTTCCTTTTCAATCTCAGTTGCAGCTCCCATCCAACAGAATGCTGCCGTTTTTTCTGGTGCCCTAATGTTTAGGGTTTAGGGTTGATCCTTTTCATTCCATGCTGCAGCTCGTATCCAACAGAATGCAGCCCTTTTTTCACTTGCTGAAAGGCGTAGGCGTCAGGAATTATTTTCTCAGCATGTCAGCAGTCGGAAAGAATTAATATATATGTTGCCAGCAATCCTTTCAAGATGAAGGCCAACTTGCTTTGACTGATGTGGAGTTGGCTCAAAGGCAGTCCACATAAACGCTCTTAGCATCCTGCAGAATCAATTAGCTGTGACGAATCTCCAATCCCAAAGTTGGACAACAAATCCAATGCGCAAAAGTTCACTGGAATAAGTAACCGAATGCACCAACGTTCAATGCATTGAAGTTTGGGAACAAAAGTTCAATGTGAAAAGGTCGATGTGAAAGATCATTATATTGAAGTTTTGCTCAGACAGTTCAATGCACAAGTTCAATGCGTTGAACTTTTGCACCATAACTTCAATGCAAAAGTTCAATGTGCTGAAGTTTTGAGTCAAAAGTTCAATGTAAAAGTTCAATGCAAAAGTTCAATGTGCTGAAGTTTTGAATCAAAAGTTCAATGTAAAAGTTCAATGCAAAAGTTCAATGCACTGAAGTTTCATCTAAAAGTTCAATGCAAAAGTTCAATGCAAAAGTTCAATGCATTGAACTTTTACATCAAAAGTTCAATGCAAAAGTTCAATGCATTGAGCTTTTAATCAAAAGTTCAATGCAAAAGTTCAATGCATTGAACAAAAAGTTCAATGCAAAAGTTCAATGCATTGAACTTTTAATCAAAAGTTCAATGAAAAGTTCAATGCATTGAACCCTAAAAGTTCAATGTGAAAGATCAATGTGATAGCTAAATGCAAGGAAGTTTTGCACCAAAAGAGAAATGAGAAAGTTCAATTCACTGAAGTCTTGCACCAACTGTTCAATGAGAAAGTTCAATTCACTGTTCCGACGATTGAAGATTCCAACGCAAATGAGCATCTCAAGGCTCACTCTGGTTTTTCTTGCACCGTTTTCAGATAGTCTGCCGTTTATGCACCTGAGGATCCTGACGGTCCACAGCAGATCTCATCTGCTCTTTGAACACAGAGTTGACAGAAACGAAAACTTGAATCAAACATATACTTGCATGCCATGTGAACGCAAAATGCAACAAACTCGACGCCTCAACCTGCATAATCCACTGCCACTGTGAACATGTCAAACCATGTTGGTTTTCAACATTTTCTTGGTGAAGACTGCTACAGCCACCAGGGACAGCTGCTACCGGCTGGATGTTGAAAACAATTCACCTGAACAAAAAAACTTGAATGCGCCTTTTTTCGGACCACCACGAATGCGATCCTCTCGCCATCCTCCAAGCGCCGTTCAGCACATTCAATACCTGTTTTTGCAGAAATGGGAAAAACTGTCAAATCATCATATTGAAAAATGTTTAGTGACTAAGTGTCAGCTGCCGTTAATCAAAAGCAAAAGGACTGTGCACCCGACCTGGACCCTTTGTTTTTTTTGGTCTCTTGGCACTTTCGCCCTCATGTTGATGTCACATGTGCATTCTGCTCTGGAGCAACGGGGAACCCATCAATCACTAGCAGCAGTTCATGGCACGCACACACATCACTGCTTTGAACTGATTTCCCTAACCAACAAGAAATCAACAATATAACCTGTACAGGCCTTGGTCTTTCGTCGCAGGCGCCCGTTTTTTTGTTGGTCGAGGTGCTCCTGCAGTGAGGAAAGACGAATCTATCGAATGTTACCAAGTACACTTGCAGGTATCAAATGTTTGACAGCGCAAGCGTCTGCAAATTGTTCCAAGATGTTCAAGTACTATAAGGACAATATATCACCAGTGGCTCCTTGTGTCTCTGTTGGTGGTGGTGGTGGTGGTGGTGGTGGTGATAGTGGTGGAAAAGGTAGTGGTGGAAAAGGTGGTGGTGGTAGCGGTGGCGGTCCCATAGGTTCCGGAACTCCTGATGCATGCTACATGTTATGTCTTTTTGTGGTCCATCTACCTTTTGAAGCATGGCTGAGTATCAAGAGAATTCAAAAAGGTCGCATCATCCTGATAGCCGAGGTGGCGGTCCCATAGGTTCCGGAACTCCTGATGCATGCTACATGCTATGTCTTTTTGTGGTCCATCTACCTTTTGAAGCATGGCTGAGTATCAAAAGAATTGAAAAAGGTCGCATCATCCTGATAGCCAAGGTGGCGGTCTCATAGGTTCCGGAACTCCTGATGCATGCTACATGTTATGTCTTTTTGTGGTCCATCTACCTTTTGAAGCATGGCTGAGTATCAAGAGAATTCAAAAAGGTCGCATCATCCTGATAGCCGAGGTGGCGGTCCCATAGGTTCCAGAACTCCTGATGCATGCTACATGTTATGTCTTTTTGTGGTCCATCTACCTTTTGAAGCATGGCTGAGTATCAAAAGAATTCAAAAAGGTCGCATCATCCTGATAGCCAAGGTGGCGGTCTCATAGGTTCCGGAACTCCTGATGCATGCTACATTTTTTGACATCTTTTCAATGTGGAATGAATATGTTTGAGACCATCTGGGAAGACCTGCCTCTGGGACAACTTGCGCTACTCTGCGGATAGGATGCCTCATGCTGGAAGCGCGGACCTTGGTTCATAGCTGATAATAGGCTTTGAGTTTTCCAGCATAAAATGAGTTCCGCGCGTGTTGTCTCGAAGAGACCAGGTTCGTGTGTTGCGTGATGGTGCAATTCTATGATGTGCTCGGTAGCTAGCCAACCGAGTACCTTGGTTGATTTTGATGTGCGGATTGCAAACCAATAATGAAAGAAGCAAAACGACAACTGCACAGATCATAATTTGAGCCCTGAACATATTGCAATCGGTAATAGGAAGCTCCGGATGTCAAGGACATGTACCCTGTATCTTGTCTTTGTCCTTGGATGCAAAAGAAATGAAAACTGAATAAAATGAACTCCCAAAGCAACTCAGTGCGCTGCTGTGACAGGTAACGTACCCATCCAGGTACTTTTCCAGAATCTGCTTGGTCAAATTTGCCGGTACTTTCCTAACATACCACATGGCCCGCGTGCTACCAAGAGTGTCTCAGGTGCACTCGCCAGAGGAACAGATTAATGCGCTTATCAAGATCACATCTTGAACTGCTTTGAGAGACTTGTCGTATTGCAATGTCGCTCCGCACCGGAACATGACTCATATTGATTCGACATCCCTTCCAACAATTGAAAGCCTGATCAATGTTGAGCCAAAGAAGCAAAGTTCAAATGGTGTGCTTTGCGCATCGAAACTTTACTGCCGCAGCTGAAACAATTTTTCAATGAAGTAATCTTTTGCGCCGTCCATCCTGTGATATCGAAGCTAGCAGATCCTAAAGCATTGAGGACATATCAAAATTGCCAAGCTGTGGCCCTCTTCTCTACGATTCATCACAAAATTGCCAAGCTGTGGCCCTCTTCTCTACGATTCATCACTAGTGGCCTTTTCGGCCTGGAGTGCAGCCTGATTTCGAGCTGACATCTCTGCCATCCACTCTCCAAGTTCTTTGGCTGGTAGCGGCTTCTTTGCAACCTTCTTTGCTGCCGCTGGCTTTTTGATTCCTTTCGTGCCATTCTTCTTGACTCCTTCCACCATTCCACGGAAATCATATTCAGCTCCAAGTGGGCCCAGAAGATTCCTTTCTGTTGCCTTTTTGGCCGCCGGGCTCTTGGTGGACTTTGTCGCCGGCCTCTTCAAAGCCGATGGACGTTGAATTTTCGGATTGGCCTTTGCCTTGGACTTTGCCTTGGCCTTTGCCTTGGACTTGTCCTCTGCCTTCTCCTTGCCCTTGGTCTTGGATTTGGACTCGGCCCTCGCCTTGGACTTGGCCTTTGCCTTGGCCTTGGCCTGAACAGTCCGGGTGTTGATCTTAAGCTTGCCCATCCAGCTTTGCAGCCCACCGAGGTCTGCTCCAACAAAATTGTCTCTGAGATAGCATCGGTCTTGCCACGCTGTCTCTGGATCATCCCAAGATGACGTAGGTTCCTCTAAGATTGTCTGAAGAAGGTCATTCGGTGTCAGGACCGCCTCTCCCTTGATCAGCTTAATCATAACATCGTTCTTGAAAAGTAAGTCCTGCTTTCGCTGGACAGGACAGCTAAGAAACTTGGAGCATCATTTCTGGCAAACTCTCGTGACTCTCTGCAGGCAAACTCTCACAAAACATTATCATACAAAACTAATTTTAAATACGCATGCAGGTATGATTCGAGTGTAGTTACAATATGATAAATATATATATTTCTACATCCCGTCAAGCTGCCTCCTCATGAAGTTCTACTGCTACATCGATCAACACTCTCTGCAATGATGTCGTCGTTGAATATGTCAATTTGTGGACTTCATTGCCAGCTAGATCGGTGCATGTGACCATTGCTGTTGCACTTTCCATTTCAGTGCCAGGAACTATGGCATCAACCGTGTAGCTGATCAGCTTGCTTGTGTAATCCTTTTCTCGTTTTGCGAGGTATAAAGGAACTTCACTTGGGTGACAGCGCTCTGTTGTCGGACGCCAGAGCAGCAATCCACGAGGCAGAACAGCCACCACCATCAACTTCACTGCAACCATTGGCGACAGAGTCAACATGAAGGTCGTACCGGGTTTCAAACTGAACCTGTACACCATTTCAAGCCTATGAGATGCAACCGGCCCCAAGGATTGGCCAAGCTCAGTAAGGCCTTCCCAGAGTTCATTGATGGTCTTAAGAGTGTCTGGCTGTGCAGGGCATTCTCTCAGACGCCACACCGACATAGCTATATGGCCAACTAGGTATATACGCACCTAAGATTTTTTTCCGAATAATTTGATCTGCAAAGCTGGATATAGCATTCCGCAGGCAGAAGTTTTTGATACAAATTGCATATGCAAAAAAATGGACAATGGAACAGCTCCTTACAGCAAAGTTTCGGACGTATTCAGGTTTTTGCTCCCAGGTTTGCCAACGATCAAGCATCTGAGAAATGTTCCAATTCTACTCTACATCTTGTGGCAGCTTGTCCACGCAAAACTTCTGGGCGTCCTCTTCTGAGATGGTGCCATCATTCAGGCACTCAATGCACGCATCCAATATTTCGTACAGCGTTTCCTTTGTGTAGCCTTTGCCAAATTGAAACAGTTGTGATCCATGAGAAAAGTTGTTTCTCAATGAGGCAAAACCTGTTTTTTTGTAGTAATTTTTAAGATAGTTCTTTTTGGGGTTCGATGGAACTTCTCGCATTTCTTTCTTGTCCCCTTCCTTTTCTTTCTCGGAACATGTCTTTTCTTTCTCGGCGCCTGTCTTTTTTTGCTTGGCAACTTGTTTTGGTTTGTTGCTAGCTGGTCTCTTCAGTGCCTTCATGGGCGTACGCTTTCCTTGCTTACACGATGGCTCTGATTTTTTTTTGTTCCCTTCATTGTCAGATTCGTCACTGAGGAGTGACACAACAGTTTCCTCGCATACCTCAATGTCTGCATGGCAACTATACATAAAAAGAGAAGTGCAATGACGATATGTCACCAAGCATTTCTGAGACGTCTTGTATGCTCAGCAACACAATCAACTCTCGATTGCACAATTGAAAGAACTCTCATAGTATGCTCAGCAATACAACCAACTATATCGATTGCACAATTGAAAGATCGAACTCTCATGCATTGGTAAGCTCAGTTATACAATCAACTCTCGATTGCACAATTCCAATAACTCTCAACCGTTGCGCCAACATGGTCTCTGAGTGTGACCACTTCTTGCTTCCTTTTAGACATCGATCCTGCTTCCATCACCTGGCAGAGAAATGATGATATTTATATATATATATGCATGCTATGTGGACAGCACAATGAATCATACTGACAGCAGTAGAAAACCTCGTCCAAGAGTTTCTCTTCTTCGACCAGTGCCTCATGGTGTACTAAAACATCATCTTTTGAATGATTCAGCTCTGTAACTTCACAATTTAGTAAATCATCGAATCGCTCCACTGATTGCCTTCTTATTCGTTTCTGACATGCCAGTCTGCAAGCCAGCGGCAGCAACCTTGTGGCATACCAGAATATGGTTATACTGTTATACTTATCAGTTTACAATGAACAGCAGCTGGAGATCTCGAAAATGAATGTCCTCAATAATTGTCAAGATCCAAACTCGAAAATTCAAATAAATCACTGCACAAATACGATGACTTTGACAGCCGATACGAGTGACTGGAAAGCCTCCAAGGAACCGGCCTTCTCTTGATGTTGGCGGTTGTCATACGGCACCTGCCAGAGAAATAGCAGGCTGTATGTAATGTATATACATGCAGAATACACACCTTGCCCATGAGTGACACTTCTTCAGGAACGTCCTCTCTGCGAAAACAAAATTGGCAGATCGCTGCAGATCGGAACCAAACAGTGAAACCTCATCAGTCCTGGTGCAATGTCTGAAAATCAGGAAGATCCAGGCCCAGGCTGTCTCCTTGGTCCGATGGATCCTGCATTGATGTGCAAACATCATTTGACTCTCAAACAAGACTGCTTGCAAGAGTATTTGCTGCCAGCTCATGCAATTCAATGTTTGGATCTACCATGTCCTGACTGTCGTTTTGCAGTGGGGCATAGTCACTGTTGTTGTATCTCACGAAGGACATGATTGTGCGAATGGCGGCGATCTGCTCTAGGGATGCTTTGTTCTCCACTTTCTCCAACCTACAGCATGACGCTGCTGGAAAATCTTGACATTGTTAACACATGCATACATACAGCGCAAAAGCACACCTGGAGTAAGAACTGGTTATTGTTTCAATTCAAAAAATAAAGAACTTGTTGGTCAAATGATGCCAAGTGGCTCTTTGGCTTCTGTCATTTTTCTGAGTTTGCAACACACTATTCTGATCTTCTCGCTCAGTCTCTCAGCGTCGTGTGGCTCGAAAGTCATAGAAGTGCTGATGCTTTCTCGTTTCTGACAAGCTAATAATGCCGAATCTAACTTCTTTCCAGTGATACAGGCGTTCGGATTCAGTTTCAGTAGCTCAACTATGATTCCTTTTCCCTTCATCATAGCAGGAATTGCAGCGGCTGGAGCTGAAGCCCACTGCACCCCTTCGGCCGCAGCCATGAAGGTATCATGCTTTCCCCACAACCGGCGCCCAAATTCTCTCATGCCATCTTCCAAAGCCTTTTCTATCTGGGCCACCGAGACACCTGACACATTATTGGCAAAGATGTTGAAATTCAAAAAAAAACAAGCAAGTCTGCACGCAGGCCTGGATCTGGTCTTAAGCGTGGCCTTGCTGCCACAGCTGGGGCTGGCAGCGACATGTCAACTGTGCAGCTGAAATGGCTTCACCCAAGCGCAAGGTACAAAATCGTCGACGCACACCTATGTGGCTGCACATACAGTTTAACTATATTGACATACGTGTCAAGAAAATATATTGAGGCCTCCAACATGGTGAGCCTTTCCCAAAGCCTTTTTCTTTCAATAATGACTGATGACTTTTTGTGACTTTCCAGGCATCGATCTTGCTCAGAAGTATCCCTTTGCACGGATGGATCATCAATCATCTAAAGGATCTGGAAAACAGATCATCCGAACTAGAAAGGCAGGAATCGCTTGATCCTGCTGCAAATGTTCTCTCAGGTTGCACATCTCATGGAGCCACAAGGGATGAACTATTTCTATGCTTTTCTGTAAATTTTCTCTTGGCATCGGCAGCGGCACTCTCTCAGAGTTAATGATGCGTAGATGAAACTCAGAGTCTGAAAGTTCGATGTCCCATGTAGCCTTGAACTTCAGTTTGACTAGATCTTTGATCCAAATGGTTGGCCACCATCTTACATTGACAGCTTGAATCATGTTTGACATCCACATTGCTCTTCGCAGCGTATCGGCTGGCATGTGGAGTAATGACCTGAGAGGGTCGAAGCGTCCGTCATGTGGACGTGTGTAGGCGACGTCCAGCATAGGCATCAGGTCTACAATAATCAAGACTGGACGTGTACCTATAGGAGGTGGCACCGGAGGCTTTCCAATCCTCCCTGCAGGGCCCATCATCACTGCAGGAGGCGGCATGGATGCCACAGTACAGATATATTACACTCCCTAGGCACTGAGAACCAAATCGACTGAGAAAACATGATAGATGAAGCATGCTCACCATGCATGAGTTAAAATCTTATCGAACTGCCGTCAAACGACAACGGTTCAATTCTTTTCCTTCACGCTCGGAAGAATTAATATCTCTCTCTAAAGAGCTCTCTTAGAGTTTATCTGTGAAACCGCCTAAAGCTACTCATTGCGTTTCTGTAGGAATCCTCACTGCTGAAGCAACGCATCGTTGGCCAACATGACATACGGACTTGATAGGCTGGAATTACGCGATCAAGCTGGCGGGCACGAAAGGCACCATCCCAACCATCCAAACATGTATCCAGCACTTTCAGCATGGTCTTGAATCTGGCTTCTGCCAGAGCAAAGCCTGGTCCATGATCAAGCCACAATTCGAACTCGTACTTTTCAAAGCTGATTCCAAAAGTCAATTCCATGAGATCAATCATAGCATCCTCGATGTCGTTCACTTTGGTTGTATTCATCTGATCGATGGCAATGTATTTGGAGTAAGTATACACTGCATTCAGCTCGGCTTCGTCGGAACAACTCATTTGGACACTTTCAATTGGGTTGAATCGTGCGGCTTCGCCGCCGAGAGTTCCCATGGGTCTCAAACTCACAATGAGAAAGACAGGGCGACAAGCGAATTCTCTGTCATCTCTAGAAGGAAAGCAACGAATGGGTGATCTGCTCCTGTGCGATGGTTCAGAATGCATTTCGCTGGCCATGGCTGCCACTTCGTGATGTATCAATATCTAGATATATCCTTGAACTTGAGCACTTCGCACTTCGCTGCATATATGGTGGAAAACATGGATAGAAGAAGCGTGCATGTATGACAAGTTCTGACATGTGTCGCGATCTTTCTTTTTCATTGAGTTTTCATCAGTGTCCTTGGCCGCAGATCGGCTCCTGGGTAAGCCAGTATTAGTTTGTTAAATATTTGGTGCCTCTTCACCTGGGCTGATTCGGAAAATGTCTGGGCTGATGCAGGAAGCATCTGGAAAACCACTGTATATCCTACGGCAAGATTATTCCTGGACGATACTTGTGACACGAAAGACGTAAAAGGAAGGGCTGGGTGGCCCCAACAAACGTGGCACTGGACAAGAAGTCGGACTGCCTAATGCGCCACTCAGGTCTATACGTGTCTAACAGCTCAACAATCGTGGTGTCATTCGAGACTTGAAAGGTGTCCCCATCAAGATCTTGATAACGTAGTTCAACGTCCGAAGTGGCCACCCGAAGATTGAATTGCCGCCATAGGTTATGGCAAACGCCAAATCGTATGTTGCCCACTGGCATCTGATGGGCGACTTCCGCCGAGTATTGTTGTGTGAAGGTCAAAATGGCCTCCAGCTCTTGAAGTGTAGCATTCTCAAAGTTGGACGGAGTGAGCTCCTCGAAATCCACGGCAAAGTCCCGGAGGCCCATATAGTCCACAATGGCAAACACTGGTCGGTCTGGCGGTGGAGTTGCCTCTGAGGTGGTCCCG